CAACCTTTACCACCATCTTCGTCACATGTATTCCATCCCCTCTCGCCCGCCCCATTCCCTCCCTCCCTTCCAGCCACTCCTCTCCTCCTGTGCACCCTGCTTGGCTCCCCACTGGTAACCCATTTTGTTCTCCATTGGCACCCTACATACTCTTTCCAGCAGAGCATCCAAAACAGCCACAACACCTCCCCTCTGCCAGAGTCTTCGTCATCTGTACTCCCCACTTTCACCCCGCTCCCTTCTTCTTCCAGCATGCTTGCTATTCCTTCCTCTATACAAAGGGACTCACGCAGACATGCAGTGGCCACAGTTCATGATCTACTTCGGTCTTCAAAGAGCACAAACATTTTGACAGCCGCAAACAGACAGAAAAGGAACCGAAAAAGTCGAGAGTCTTCCCACACAGTCTGATGCAGAGATGTGCTTCAGGCTACTGGCTCTCAATAAGCAGAAGTACCAACAGAGTCGCATAGACGTACCTCAGACTCCCTGGCGCTTTTCCAGTTGCCATGCATAGGTCCTTCGCCTGCTTCAGCACCTGCCTTGGACACAGGAGCACAGTCTTCCATCACGACCTCCTTTGGAGGCTCGGATGTGCTGCACTCGCCGTTTGTAGCACGCAGAATTGCTTGAAATCGAGGAGAGTCCGAGTCCTTTTCAACTCCACTCTGCAGACCACCATCACACCACCGAAGAGCAAACAATGAGTAGAGAAACATGCAGGCAGTAATGGGAACTCCAACACTGCCAGGAAATGGCCTTCAAATCCTTACAATTTGCATGTGGGTAAAGACAATCCCACTGGAATGATGTAATAAATATTCATTCAAACCCAGCCTGCACAGCACCAGCTTTCAATCCCACTGGGCCAACCATTTGCCGTATAGTCTCCAAGTTAATCCCCCTTCTCTCTCTCTCTCTCTCTCAGGTCAAATTATCTATGATTAGATTATTATAAAACAGATTAGCAGTGGTTAAAAGGATTATTGATCAGCAATAGAATTGTCATCAAAACACTCAGTAAACCCAACCATCCCACATTACGCACTAATGGTGGATAATCATATCTTTTTGAAGTGCTCAAAATCACTCCATCTCTCTCTCTCTCTCTCTCTCTCTCTCGCTGATGTCTGTCCACCACAGCCTCCCACCTAATAGGTGTGTACCGCCCTGTAAGATGTGCCTGTGACTTTCTCCCCTCCCCTCCCCTCCCCTCGAGGAGTTAGCACTCTAGAAAACTACTCCATGTGCCTGTGACCTTCTCCCCTCCCCTCCCTCCCCTCGAGGAGTTAGCGCTCTAGAAAACTACTCCATGTCCCTTGGCCAGATAGCGATCAGTAGCATGCAATGTAAGGTCTGAGTCTTCTTCCTCATATCCACCATAGCACAGGAGCTCCAGCAGCACTCGGCAGCAGCAATAGCAATAGCGAATTTGTTGCTGAAGCGGCCTGACGGCCTCCCACCAAATTGTATGTTAGACTGGACTACTGGCTTGCTTTTATAGAAATTCGGCAACCGTCTCTTCAGCCGACTTGTATGGACAAAGGCCAGGCCCATTTGTTGGGCCACCAAGCCCACAATAACTTTTCCCCGGCCGTTATCGAACAAGTTTGACAGCCGGTGCCATTCAATTTCCAAGGCAGGAGGCTATGCAATTTCCACAGCCCATGCGATCCAACTACAAAGAAAATGTCATACAATGTCCACAGCCAGCCAGTACCTCCCCCGGGTACAAATATCTTTCCTTAAATTTGTACAAGTGTGAACAACCCGTTGTAGCCCGGGTACTCCGAGGGTCTAGGTCCCACTTGCAGCAAATAAGAGATTCTGACCGTAGATATCAAAGATCAACGGCCGAAATCTCCTAATTTGCGCACGTGGGACCTTGCCGCGGGTTGTACAGGGTTGTACTCTACTCGCGTTACCAATTTTTGCCAAAAAATAAATAAAAATTTTCAAGTGATTATGAAAAAAGTGTACAGTCCTTCGGGACATCTGTTTAAATTGGAACGATACAGAGAAGATTAGCATGGCCCCTGCGCAAGGATGACACGCATAAATCGAGAAATGGTCCAAATTCAAAAAAAAAAAAAAAAAAAAAAAAAGAAAGTGTACGTAATAAAGCACATCATCCGAAACAAGCTAAACAAACTTCGGCCGCAAACAAAAGAGTGAAATCCGTAAAAGAGTTTGAGATAAAGAATCAAAGGCGAAAAGGAAAAAAGAAAAACAGAAAAAAAAACACATTGTACGCTGTACAAGCGTACAAAAACAAAAAAAAAAACAATAGCAATTAGCCATACAACGGGGCCGCGTTATATGCATGTACATCATGTACAAGGTCAGATGCACTGCAGCCGGTACCAGGCAAATTCCAAGGCCAACCAGTTCCTACCCCCTTCCGTCTCCTTTGCCAAAGGTACCTGTACACCTTAGCCATTTTTTCAGGCCTACAAGTTTCGCCATTTTGCAAATAAGTCCCTGTATTTTGCCAAAAAGCAGAAAGAACCGACGGGCCAAAACAATCTTGAAGTCGGTGAAACTCCGCCGAAACAGTTTGTCACAGCCCCTCGTTTTTTGTTTTTTGTTCTTTTTTTTGGGGGGGGACCATTTCTCGATTTATGCGTGTCATCCTTGCGCAGGGGCCATGCTAATCTTCTCTGTATCGTTCCAATTTAACGGAGCCCCTCGTTTGTTGTCATCCTCTTCTCCCTCCCTCTCTCCCTAGTACGGTTTACGGGGCAGCTCTGTTAGACTATATATTGTCGCAGCCCCTCGTTTGTTGTCCTCTTCTCTCTCTTGTCCCTCTCTGCC